AGTGTTAGAGGGAGAAAGGAAAGTTGGAGGGGGTAGATGGGGTGTATGGAGGATGCAAGGGTGGGGTTGTGAATGATGAGTTGTGTTTTCTCTTTACTTGTTCGTTTTATTCCCTTTTTCTTTGTTTTTCTTTTTTTCTTTTCTTTTTTTTATAGTAAATACCCTGTATATAAATGATTGCAAATGGAATGTGAAAATTGAATAAAATATTTTATGAAACAGGACAGCAGTGTTAATACTGAAAAAGTACAGGGAATTACAAACACATGTCACTAAAGCAGATTTATGTATCTGTAGGGATTTTAATAAACGGAGGGTTACTGACATTCATTCTTTTGTAAAAAAATAAAAATAAAAATCATTTCATTAATAATACAACTTAGATTGTTGTCATTTAAAGTTTCTCATTATTCTACTCTGTCTGCTGAATAGTCTAAAACATTAGTCCCTATAGCACAGCTGGGAAGAAAAAATTAAAAGATACTTTGGATTTTATTTATAAAAGTCTAGAAATACTAGTTAAAAATTCAAAGATCACAAGTATTACCTGTGAAACTACATAGCCTGCATTGGACAAAGACCTTAGTATAGTATAGTCTTTATTGTCATTGTACAAAATAAATACAACGAAATTGGTTATTTAAAAAATTCTTAATACAACTGTGTAAAACCTTTTTTTAAATCAAAGTTATTATTCAACTCTTGTTGAATTCAACTATTTTTCAAGAATTAGTATTCAAATACACAATTCTAAATTGAAGTCAAAAAAGAAAAAAATTAATTTAGCTTCTTGGACGTTATTTACTTGAACAGGACTAGGGTTCAAAGATTATGAGGGTGGAGAAATGCTACGTCCCACTCAAAAACATTCAGATTGAAAACAATACTAGTTTTTCACAGACTAATGTGAATATGAGAAAATCAGAAACTGAGAGTTATTTAATTCCAAAGTACAATATCCTCTGTGGCTAGTTAGTGTCAGGGATCTCGCCAGCAAGTTGGAATGTTACCTAAATTTCTTAAAACTGTACTTATAAAAATTCTTGCCAGCTCCTGCTGAATAAACTATTGTACAAGCTATTTTGTTCTTTGTTCCCAAAATAGGTATAGTTTTTAAGATTTGGCTTTGCCAGGTTTTCTGACAGGATGCCTATTTACTAGACACTCTACACTCATTATTGAGTTACACCAGAATATGGACTTTGTAACATTTGCATTTTATCTTCCAATTTTCTCCAGTTCATTAGCTAAACTTGATTTAGTCTTCTGTAGGCATGTAAATATTATTTGGTTAACCTGTTACCTCTTCAGTGGACAAAACTAACACAGTCAGTGTACAAATATCTGTGGTAAGCAATTCCTTAATATTTCTTAATATGCTACGAAATACTTGTTGCAAAAGAGAGCTATAAATAAAAATGTATGCCAAATATACAAATTAATCTCTTAACTTTCACAATGTTATCTGTGTAGGCTAGTGTTGTACACAGGATTTAGAAACAGTCCTCTAAGGCATTTCAGAAAGCATATTAAATGAACCTGTTTTTCAGGAACTATACATTCCCTAACCACTAACTATCATTGTAACTTAGCAATATGTTCCCCATAAATAAGTAGCAGTAGTGGGTAAGGTGGCACATTAATACCGTGTTTCCCCAAACATAAGACCTTGTCTTGTATTTTTTTGCCACCAAAAAAGGTACCAGGTCTTATTTTGAGAGGGATGTTGTCCATTGACTCATCTCACTTGTACGCGTCACCCCCGGCCTCTTTTCGCTATCAGAGTCTTTCAGGAACTTCTTCATCTGGCAAAGCCAACAAGGCTTTCCTGAAGACCTCTGCAGCCAATAACAGAGCTCTGGATGGATCTGGAGCTCTGTTATCGGCTACAGAGACCTTCAGCAAAGTCTTGCCGGCTGCAAAAGAAATGGTTCGAGGTGTGCGAGGCCTGGCTGCAATTGTCTGAAAGTAAGTAGTATGACAGCTCCATCCCCACCCTAGCTTAATTTTACCTGTGTACCCTGGAGTAGGCAGGGTCTTAATTAGGGCTTATTTTGAGGATAGAGTTTATATTCGGCACATATGTAAAATAAGCTAGGGCTTATTTTCTGAGTAGGTCAAATTTTCAGGGAAACACAATAGTATCTTAGTATGCTAAGTGACAAACCTCCTTGGATCTTCATTACCATAGCAAATCATTTTTGTCATGAGGAATTTCAATGGAAAAGAAGCAAAAATAATTGAAGAGTAAAGAAAATAATTTTATTAAGAAAAAAGTGAAGATGATTAGAATAAGTTTCATTTTAAAACACAATTATGAATTTAACAGTTACTGGCAGAAAAAAAAATACTTACCAACCACAGAAGCTCCTCTTTCAGCAAAAGCCAATGCATATGCTCTGCCCAGTCCTAGCATAAAGAAAAAAATAAGTAAAGTATTTTATAACCTGACCGTTTTTTAAAAAAACTACACAGGAAGTCAACATCAAAGGAGACAATTATATACTTAAAAGCAAAATGTGGTATTGCTCTTAGATATGAGTATAGTGATAGCACTTAGACTTATATACCGCTTTATAGTGCTTTACATCCCTCTCTAAGCAGTTTACAGAATCTGTATATTGCCAACCTCATTTTACCAACCTCGGAAGGATGGAAGGCTGAGTCAACCTTGAGCCTGGTGAGATTCAATCTGCCAAATTGCAGGCAGCCGGCAGGCAGCAGAAGTAGCCTGCAGTACTGCATTCTAACCACTGCATCACCATGGCTCCTCTGATGCATGTATCTGATGCATTGGGTTAAACAGAAGTAGAAAAATGCTCAGTCTTGATGACATGTGATCTAGACAAGTATTGCTCAATCCTGGCAACTTTAAGATGCATAGACTTCGATTCCTATAAATTCCCAGGAGCATGTCTTAAAAGTTATCAAGGTTAAGAAACGTTGTTGTAGAATCAATTGGGAATTCCAAATAGGTCACTACAGAAGAAAAGGCAAAGAACTACTCAGAATACAGCAGATTAATACAATTCAATTAAGCTCCAAAACTTTAGAAGGTATCCTCCTTTTTATACATCCAAAGAAATAAATTTTCCATTAAAGAGAAAAAGAAAATTGTTTTCTTTAAAAGGAGCTGCATGATACTACTGTAAATTTGTAAGCCTTTTTTAAAGAAAAGTTTGACACATGAGAAAATTACTTGAAGTTCTTTTCAGTATAAGTGAAATAGTTTAAAAAACATCTCGACTAAACAGAAAAGGATACATATGATCTGAAATATTTTCACATAGTGTCCTTTTCTTGAATTTTATCCTGAGATCGTTCTTGAGGCTGTCTTCTCCACTCCGATAAAATTATTGTGAAGATAAACTATGCAGTTCTGATATCTACAGCATTTAGAAACTAAAATCACATTTTCAAACTGAGACAAGATTGATAATTAAGTTTCTTTACATAGGCAATCTCTGATCTGAATATATCGGAGGATATATGAGATATATCATTTTCAAACAGAATGATTCAATGTCCTTTTTTCAATGAAAAGTTCCAAAGAATTATGCTGACAAGGTATTAATTCATCTTTGATTATTGTATTTCTTTAGCAAACTTCAACTGAGATCTTGGTGGTTCTAATGTAGGAAGGTAGCACCCACCCCTCTCCTAGAAGAATGAAATAACCTAGGAAATATTCAAAATATTAAGAATATTATATTTGCCTGGATGTGAAAAGGGAGAAACATGTTTTTAAAGACAAAGTAGCTCCCTACAGCTTCCTGCTCCCCCCTCTTGTCAATGGGCCAGTCTATTCTACATAACAACAGTAGGATTAGTCTTCTACCCATCTCACAGCATAGCACCTGGGAGGATTGCATCAGTCAGCAGGACAAACAGGCTTGGATCTCAGGACAGCCTACAGAGTTGCCCTGCAAGGCCCTATCGGAGTGAAAACCAATCAAAGTGCATTTCTTGTACAGGAGCGGGAGGCCCTGAGATAGGCCCAACAGAGGACATAAAACCCAGGGACTCTCAGCAAGCCAGTATCTTTCCTCTCCTTAATTGTAGTTAAAGCTAGTGATAGATTCTATTTCCAAATGTGAGCAAAGTTAACAACTTGGTGAATTTATTAACTGATGATTTCATAATCCAAACAAGTCTGTTTTGGTGAGAATGACTCTAATCTTGTATGAACAGTTTCAGTGTATTACATCTGTCAGTGCAATCCTCTACATATTGCTCAAAAATCTCATAAATTTTCTGCGGCTCCCTCAATTCACTATATTTAGGAGTGTAATTTCATTTTGTTTTATATACAATAAGTATAAACTATACTTAACAACTTACAAGTAAAACAGATTTTCCTTTCATTCCAGCTCTCCAAAGATCTTAAATCTTCCCTGGAGACCTGAAAGATCTTACAGAGCTGATTTGGAGTATCTGGGCATGAGCAGAGATTGAGAGTAAAAAGTCCAAAACCCTTATTAAAGTGGTGTACTTGGACATCTGATGTTGCATGAATTAAACAGTCTGCTAATCTCATCCATTTTTTAAAAAAATATTCTCTAATTTCAGTAATGTTTCAATACTCTTGGCTAAATTTCTGTCAAATTCAAATACATAGTGGTATTTCTTCTATTTAATTTTAAAATACATTGCACTGGGAAAAAATCAGATGGGTGATTATTTTGTACTGAACATGACAAATCAGAACCTACATACCTTATTCTAAAGTATTAATAGATGTTAATTAGCCTCTGTCTCCTAAAGTCAATTTTCCATAACTTAAAAGACAAAAAGTGCATAAGTAATGCCATTAAAACAAAAAAATCACTATCAGCAAATGAATTACTAATGGAGAAAGACTGATACAAAAAATCTTATTCCATAAAACTAGTTTGACAAGTCAATGGTGAGTATAAATTATCACATATTCTATCTTGGTCATCCCTGTTTGGTGTCAAGCTTCTTCATCTCTGAATAGGCAGTATAGCTTTAAAACTATGTAACTATCAAATCTCTGCCTAGCTAAAACTAGGAATATTTTACAGACATTTTAAAAAATGGAAAGGATTTTTTTTTACTATTCTTTAATCAGTTCTAATATTATATGTACATAAGGTTTTAATGTTAGTAGAGAAATAATCACCAAAGAAAAATGGATTCAAAGGGACCAGATCATGTCATTTTGAATTATGATTTGAGTGCATGAATTACTAGACTTAATTCACAGAATTTACTGCCAGGTGGGTTCCGTAGGATATCTCCCAACTTCCAGGCTCAATCCAGAAACTAACAAGAAGTATGTGAACAGATATTATTAGGCTGAGGATTTAAACAACGAATCGTCACCACTAAATAAACGACTTTGTTTCTGGACGGAAAACAAGCTGCGCTTACAAAGGTCTATCATTGGATCTAACTTAAAAGTAAAGTCCGGAAAGGCATGGACAGAATTATAATCTCAGCTTCACTTAAAAGGGCGGTTTACATATCTTCGTCCTTAAGGAGAAATGCAAACAAGAATACAAGAAAGCTGCAAAGATCTCCTTGCAGCCTCTTTGCGAAAGCTGCAAAGATCTCCTTGCAGCCTCTTTGCAATCAAGCACACTTACAAAGAAAACTCCGGAAAATCAACAGTCATCGTGATGCACTACTTACCTCCCCCAGCACCGGTCACCAGAACTACCCGCCCGTCAAATCTCAAGGGAGAAGACATTCTGCGTCCGATCAACGCAATATCAGCCTTCCGATGAGTCCTGCTGGACTAAATAGAATCTGGGCAAAGGGCATGGGGGAATGCGCACGCGCGCAATAGCTTGCTGCATCCTGGGAAACGTAGTTTTCTATGGCGCACCTGGCTCAAGCGGGACTTTTGCAGTTTCCCTATTGGTTGCTCTGCTTGACAGCTCCTCTATAAATAGCTGTCAAGCAGAGCGTGGGGCTGAATTACTTGTTCTCTTGTTAGCTTGCTGTTTAAAATAAAAGTTACTTGTTTCACGGTTACCGCATAGAGTCCTCTCTTCTGTTAACCAGTTCACTACACTGAGTTAGGCGGATTTCATTGTATAATTACCGTACATCCCGGTCCCACCCACCCACACTAGTTTCACTATAGCAGCCTCCCCAATCGGGGTAAAGCCATTGTGTAATGGGAATAAGGATAATTATAGGGAGTGTTTATGGATAGTTAAATTAAATTGGCATATTCAACCCCAATTCCTGAGTATGTTCAACCACAGGAATTAGATACTGTTCACAACACACTAAGCAAAAGCTAATTAGTGGTGGGCTAATTTATAACTGAGAGTACCATGAGATGAGACCGAGAATCAACTACATCTGGAAGGTACTAAGGTGAACTGAGCCCTCATATACTAAAAGCAGGTCTGAGATCCAGATTGTGGTTATTATGCAAAGCACTTCAGTAAAGCCCTTTGACTTCGAAAACATTCCTCCCCTCTTTAAGCCAGTGTTTCTCAATTTGCTGGCTGTGAGATTCTGTGTGTTGAAATCCGCCCACCTTTAAATTGCCAAGTTTGAAAACTTTGTCACTTTGAATGTACACTAATCGGCATACATTAAAATGAAATTTATACTTCAATATATACTACATACACATCACAAAATAAATAAATACAAAATTATGAATATACCCCCCTATATTATATTACACAGAGAATGACAGTTTAAGCCTTTCTTTGCATCAGAATTGCACGCCCATGTCTAATATAGGAGTGGTGGTGCATATCCATAAAACTGAAAGGTATTCACTTCTCTAAGAGAGACTTTTAAAAAATGTTTCTCCTGGGGAACCATCTTTGCAGAGGCCATCTGCCCAGTCCTAGACCTGCTTCCCTTTTTTCCCTGCGTCCACAAGCCACAATAGAAGGCTGAGGCCATTAAAAAGGCTAGAAATAGCTCAGTGGTGGGGATTAATATATATATATATATTTTGTATCAGTTCTGTGGGTGTGGATGGACATGGCATGGCTTGGTGGGTGTGGCTTGGTGGGCGTGGAAGGGGAGGGATGCTGCAAAATCCCCATTACCTCCCCACTCCTGGAGGAAGGTTACTGCAAAATCCCCATTCCTTCCCCACCCCACTAACTTGCTTTCCAGCTCTGTTCTCCTGTTCAGGGCAACAATAGAAGATAGGCTGGGAGGCAGCAGGGGCAGGCCCCACCTATTTGCTGGTTCTCCAAACTACTCAAAATTTCCATTACTGGTTCTCCAGAACCGGTCAGAACTGGTTGAATACCACCTCGAAATAGCTGTATGGTACCGAACCCTCCAGCATAAGCAAAATCACCAAACTATTTCAAGACTCTTCAAATACATGTTTTTCTTTAAACCCAGTAGGGGGAGTATTGCCATGGTTTCATTATATCCGAACTCCTTGCGTTTGATATTTTGAGAGCCTGCTCTATGACTTTGGAAATCTACTCTTATGCTTTAAAAGTCAGAAAATGTAAGAAGCAGGATGATAAAAATATATTTATTATTTGATTTCAGTGGGCAAAGCTCGATCAAACAGCAGGCTCGAACTGCTTCCATAATAGTTGGGTGAAAATAACTATTCAGCAATTTTAACCAAATTCACAGAGGTAAAGATGACAAGCACAAATCCTCAAAATTTTGAGAGGGGTGTCACACCTATGTCACCAGGAAACATGCTTAACCAAGATGTACCTTTTACACCTATATAATGGTGAAATCATTTCTCTGTTTTGTGTTGTTTGGAATTTCTTATTTTCTCTAAATAAAGTTTGATGCGGGATGTGTGAATAGCTCTTGAAAAGTGAAGGCAATCTTAAACTTTGCATATTAGTATATAATTGCTTCAAAATAAATCTGATGATTTTAGAGAAAAGTACTAGACTTATTCTCAGAATGGTTCTAATATAGAAAAGACTGTGCTTGAACACTTGAATGGGGTACCTGAACTTACAGCAAATGTATTTGCTGTGGAAAAATAAGCTTGGTTGAATTAATTAGAAAACAATATGAAACCCTTTATTTCTTTGTCAGTAAATATAAATTCAACGCAATATGAAACCTGGTTGAAAAACCTTACTTAGTATAAATGGAGTATAAATAAAATAATATGAACAAATACTATATTGTTAATTGAAAGGCAGTCAGAGTTGGAATTAGATACTGCTGATCTTCTTGCCTTTGCTTTTCTTAAGATCTGAATCATTTGTTTGGTTGATACTTTTTCTTCTATATCTGAAATGCCTTATGGATATCAAATTATACCAAAACATGGAGCAAGAGCTGTGCTTTGATCAATGTTTTGAGTGCAAAAGAGAAAGTTTCCTTGAACAAACCTCAAGTCATTGTGTCTTCCCAGACAAGTTTTATTACCTGTTATTTGATGTCTAGGTATGTGTACATCATAGTTTAGCCATAATTTATTGAGCAAAACATAATTTGCAAAACCAGAATTTACAAAGCACAGTGTTTTGACCAGAACCCAACTAACCACATTGCCTTTACCTGCTAAAGATAAGAGGTTAGGCTTAGAAAAGGATATGACAATTCCAAGGAGCAGAGACACATCTTTTTTAAGAAGACTGTTTAACTGTTTATGAAATTTATAGGCCGCCCAATCCCGGAGGACTCATCCATACCAGCAGTGTTGAAATTCATTTTTTTTTCTGCAGGCATAGCTTGGTGGGCATGGCAGTGGAAGGATACTGCAAAATCTCCATTCCCTCCCCACTCTGGGGCCAGGCAGAGGTGGTATTTGCTGGTTCTCCGAACTACTCAAAATTTCCACTATCGGTTTTCTAGAACCTGTCAGAATCTAGAACCTGTCAGAATCTGCTGAATTTCACCCCTGCATACTAGCATAGTGTATAACAATGGCATATGCCTCTATCATGTTTTGTTATTCAGCAGTGAGGGAAACCTATTGAATATGATTAAAGAAATACCATATTTGATGTTTCCAGACTCAAGCCTTAAAAATTGTATAACACTAGACTTCATAATTACTTTTCTTTTTGTATTGACCTTCACTGCTATGCTAGGCTAGAAATCAAGAGATTAGGGGTTCTAGTTCTGCCTTTGACACAAAGTCAACTGAGTCAATCACTTATCACCAGCCCCAGAAAGGAGAAAATGGTAAACCACTTCCTAAAATCTTGTCAAGGCAAGAGAAATCCAGGCAGTCATGAGGAATAATCACAGACTGAAAAGTGTATACACACACTGTATTGACCTAAGCCAGTTATGAATGTTATTTGGCATTTTCTTTACAATACAATTAATCTGTTTTCAAGAATAATAGTTGATATAAATTCTGACAAAATAGTTTTATAAATATTCAGAAAGTTTTGAGCAGCACATATGCAAATAGGGTTTTATTTCAGTAATAATTATTTTCTTATTACAAGAGGTGACACCACCTATCTAATTCTGATTTATTTTTTTTAAGTAGGCATGATCATAGAGAAGACTATGGTTATTGGCTGGACTAAATAGTAAAAGAACTACTGATAGAAAGCAATAGCAAATCTCTGTCATCTAGATGGACTAATCTATACAGACATCTTCAGTTGAGCTTAAGTCAAGAGACTATTTTTAATTGCTTGATTGCAGTAAAAAATCCTATGGAAAGGAAATGAATTATACTGGGCCTGAAATTTGCTGCTTGCAAAAGCCCAAACCACACATCATTCTTTCATTAAGGGATCAGGTGCCTTCTTTTGTTAACAGCAAAAATGCTTGCTCAATTTTGGAAACTTTCAGAAACATCTACTTTCACTCTTAGAACTTCTAGCAATTAGCATGCAGTATTTGCTGAGAATCTGGGGAGCTAAATCATACATCTGAGGAATACTAAGATGGAGAGGTCTGATTCAAAGTAATAATTTCCAGCAGTTTGGAACATATTTTTGGAGTTTCTGTGGCAATAATATTTCCTGCAATGCGTGACAAGTTGCTAATTTAGTACAGATGCATTAGAATAACTTGAAGTTTCTTATTGTGTGCTTCAAAAATAGCAAAGTCGTAGATTTGTCAGACCTATGCAGTTGACCATCTGTCATCAAAGTACGTTTTTTTTTTTTTTTTAATCTTCTGCCTGGATGTGATGGCAAGCAAGAAGTATTGTGCAATAGTTGACATAGTTCAAAACAATTTGGCAAATGCAAATATCTTGAGAAGCACTTCACTTTCCTTTTTCTTAAGACTGATCTGTTCTGTTTAGCTGTAAGTACTGAGCTTTTTACTTGCAGTGCATAATTAATTTTTAAAATAACTAGCGCCTAAGGTACAAACCTAACATACTGGTTTCATTTCATTTCATTTCATTTTCCTTTTCCTTTATTT